ACATAATGGTGTGGAGGGGATGGCCATAAGGGGAGAAGGGAGGCCATCCATAAAAAAAAAATAAAATCCTATTTGTTTGTTTTTTTTAGTGTTGGGAAGGGGAACGTCAAAGTTCTAAATGGTCAGTCGGACCCTGAGGCTCAAACTGATTTGGACTCTATATTTATGGTGAGAAGAATTCTACATTCAACAGCTAAAAGGAGAACGTTTGGTTTTACATCTAGAACATGACCATCAGTTATCAGATCAATTGATAGTTCAAAAAATAGTGTCTAAACAACCTATCCTTATGCATCTCAATTATCCAAATATAAAAATCTAACAAGGTTGGGTCAGGTCCTCTGGACAGTTTCTTGTTTGGTGAAATCTTTTGACCTGTCTTGTGGGGCAACTTAAAAAAGGAAGTAATGATAATAGTAAAACAACATGATTGACTGTCTATGTACAGTTTAAAAAAGAACAATGACTCAAAAATTATTGTGAACCTGTAAACATAATTTACTGGACTTCAAATTTCATGCGGCAAGCACCTTCCCGTCTCAAATTATGAATAATATTCCTATTCATATTGATATTTAGCATTTTTTATGGTCTGGTTAGGGATTTTGACTAAGCCAAATTGTTACATGTCCCTCCAGATGTACGGCATTCAAATTCCATGCAGCTACCACCTTCTTTTCTCGAGTTATGACTAAAATTACACTTAAGAAACAGGCGCTTCCTGCCCAACTCGACCAAGCTACTCCCTGCTACGGCCAGCTTCTTCAAACCCCAAAGTCAATCTGACCGTTCACGTCTTGGGGCATCTACTGTACATCCACAAAAATCAAATAGACCAATCACGTTGTGGGCCAACTTCTCCCACAAAGTAAGAAAAGCCTACTTAGTGACTGCAGAGACCCCCTTCTCCCAAAAACTGGTTCACATGAAAAGGAGGACCATCAACCTAGCAATGAGAAATCCCACACAAGATAGGCTCTGGAGCAATGTAGTTATCTTAACTTTCCTGAAAGCAGGCATGAAACAGAAACAGGACTTCAATCAACCACTGAGTGAAAAGAAAGACCAGACCTGTGGTCATTCCATATGCTGTGGGAGTTTCAGAGAAACTGAGATGTTTATTCTCTAAACATGATGTCCCAGTTGCTTTCAAACACCAAAACGCATTACGACAAAGATTGGTTCACCCCAAAATATGGTTCACTGGCACAAAAAGAGTAATACAATAAATGCTGTTATACATCGGGGAAACAAAGCAGCTACTGTTCAAATGGGTGTCCCAACACAGAAGAGCATCAGGCAAGGACTCTGCAGTTAACACTCATCTACAGGCCAGGACTCTGCAGTTTACACTCATCTACAGGCCAGGACTCTGCAGTTTACACTCATCTACAGGTCAGGACTCTAAAATTTAAAATCTACAGGCCAGGAC